AAATGTAGGGGAACAAAATAATTATGTCGTTCTTTTATGGTTTTTATAATAATTATGATTTTTTAAATCTAACACAGTATATTGACTTAATCTTAAAAACATATAAATTAAATTTTAAAATAATATAGAGTTATAGGCAACTTTATCATATATTTTAAAAATCTTTTTATTCGGTTAATCAGTTATATATTTAATTTAATATGTATGTCGACATAAACCTACTTATTTGATTTGAATTTACTGGGCGAAACTTCTTCAGATCTGTTTCCAAGAAATTCCAGATCTAAACCGTAGTAGTAGTTTACAAAGGCAGTAGCAGTCAACCCATTTCCTTCTATCTCTTTGTAAATTGTTTGGATTTACAGCGAATACGCTTGGGTTTTTAACTCCCTGGGAAATCCTTCATCCCACTTTCGCTTTTCAGATCTCCATTCCACTTTCGTTTTTTCAGATCTCCTTTGATAACATCGAAAATTTATAGTCTTCTAACTATATAATTTTGAGTTTATGTTCTTTTCAATTTGCAGCTTCTTCAGTCGAGTATATTTTTTCTTGTTTCTAATTGCTCTTTTGTATACAACGTTTTTCGTTTTATTTTGTTTATCGATTTTTTTTGGCTATTATATCTTGATTTTTTGAATTTTGCAGGTTCTGGGTTATCATAGTAGATAATATTTTGGAATTTTCTTAACTATTTATTGCAGGATTTTGAGTGGTTTATTGCTTTTTGTTTATCTGTTGTTATATATATCTGGTTTATATCATGATCTCTGGCTCCATACCACATCTCTAGCTACACCTTTGCAACTCCGAAATTCGATCTCACCACTTCCCATATTAAAGCCCTCGGAATTTTTTGTTGGTGTTTTAAAAGTTATAGATCTTGGGTGTTAAATTAGTTAAATTTGTTTGACATGTTCGAAATTGAATACAAAGATAATAATGACCTCTGTATTTTACTTTTACATATATTAAGTTAGATATAAATTCAATCATTGGTTTCTTGTTGTTGGTCTAAAGTTAAGTAAGATAGTGTTAATTTGTCTTAAAATCCTATTAAGTAACTAACTAGGCTTCTTAGTACCCTCAATTCTCTAGCGTTTTCATAGTTCCTCATAGCTTCGCCTATAGATGATTACTTGAGGTCATGTCCTTCTTTTAGATCCCATAGGGTGTATAGGGGGAGGGCTCGACAGAGTGGTGCCAAGGAGATTAGATTTAGAGTTTGTTCGTTGAATGTAGGTACATTAAATGCTATGTTGCTGGAGCTAACCGACGTACTTAGTAATAGGAAAATTGATTTTGCATGTATTCAGGAGACTAGGTGGAAAGGGGCTCGCGCCAGAGAGTGTAATGGGTACAAGTTGTGGTATTCAGGCGTAGATAACGTTAGAAATGGGGTGGGTATCTTGGTATCCTGTAGGCTCAAGGAAAATGTAGTTGAAGTTTGTAGATACCGGGATAGGATCATGATGATTAAGGTTATTATAGAAGCGGAAGTGGTGAATGTCCTTTCAGTGTACGCCCCACACGTTGGCCTAGGGGATGGGGAAAAACGTTGCTTCTGGAATCAGTTAGATGATGTACTTAGGAGCATTCCAGAGGACCAAAGAGTTTTCATAGGGGGAGACTTCAATGGACATATAGGTAGTGCAACCGACGGGTACGACGGTGTTCATGGGGGTTTCGGTTTGGTAGTAGGAACGAAGAGGGGCGTACGTTGCTTGAATTTGCTACTGCACATGATATGGTGGTCACTAACTCCTTTAAAAAGAGAGATGTGAACTTGATTATGTTCCATAGCAGGGGATATTGTACCCAAATCGACTACATTCTGGTTCGAAATCGGGATCGATGGTCTTGCATTGACTGTAAGGTGTTCCCTGAAGAGGCATGTACATCACAACACATGGGATATTGTACCCAAATCGACTACATTCTGGTTCGAAATCGGGATCGATGGTCTTGCATTGACTGTAAGGTGTTCCCTGAAGAGGCATGTGCATCACAATACAGATTGTTGGTTTTGGTATTCCACGTACGCCGCGGGCGGAGCACTCATAGGAGGGATAAACTTGATAAACCTAGGATCCTTTGGAAGCAATTACATGGAGCGACAGCTGATGACTTTAGGAGTAAGGTTTTGTCTAATACAGGTTTTGGAACTACAAAATTAAATAATGTAGATATGTTATGGAAAAATATGGCAAATTCCATTAGAGATGTGGGCAAAAACACACTTGGGTTGTCGACAGGGAAGGTCAAGGAACATAAAGAATCGTGGTGGTGGAACGAAGAAGTCCAAACTAAGGTGAAGAGAAAACAAACTTGCTTCAAGGAGTTTCTACAATGCAATGATGACGAAGAAAGATCGAGAGCTAAACAAAGATACAAGGACGCAAATCGGGAAGCCAAGAAAACAGTGGCTAAAGCAAAGGATAAAGCATACGAGGAAATGTACAAGAGATTAGACATCAAGGAAGGATAAAACGACATCTTCAGGCTTGCAAAATCCAGGGAAAATAGGAAAAATGATCTAGGTAGCATTAGGTTTATTAAGGACAACAATGGTGTTCTTTTAGTTAAAGATCATGATATTAAGAGGGTTTGGGGTAGTTACTTCTTTGGCTTATTTAATAATGGTGCCTCTCCCTGTAGAGATAATATCGTTGATGGGTCAGCCGACCATCATACTACGGCCAATGACTGTCCTACAAGTAGGATTGAGTTTGAGGAAGTCAAAATGGCTTTTAGAAAGATAGGGAGGGACAATGATGTCGGTCCAGATCAAATTCCTATCACTGTGTGGTTGACCCTAGGAGAAGAGAGAGTTAAGTGGTTGACCAACATCTTTAATATTATTTTAGAGACTGCCAAGATGTCAGAGGAGTGGAGAGAGTCAAAGGTGATATCAATCTATAAGAATAAAGGAGATCCCCAACGTTGTGGCAACTACAGAGGTATTAAACTACTCAGCCATTCCATGAAGCTATGGGAAAGGGTAATAGAGGCTAGGTTGAGACATGTTACAAGGGTTTCAGAAAACCAATTTGGCTTTATGCCAGGCAAGTCTACTACGGAGGCGATTCATCTACTTCGACGGCTTATGGATAAATATAGGGAAAAAATAGTGATCTTCACATGGCGTTCATTGACCTTGAGAAGGCGTATGATAGCGTTCCCCGCGATACGATCTGGAAGACCTTGGAAACGAGATGGATCCCAACTGCTTATATTCGGGCGATTCGTGATATGTACTGTAGATCTACTACTACCGTTAGGACTACAGTTGGCGACACCAAGGCATTCCAGGTGGAAATCAGACTCCACCAGGGGTCGGCTCTTAGCCCTTACATCTTCGCCTTGATTATGGACGACATCTATTGTGCGACACCAGACGGTGTTCCATGGTGTATGCTTTTCGCTGACGACATTGTCCTAATTGTTGAAACAAAAACTGAGCTGAATAGTAGACTTGCTACCTGGAAGACTGCTTTGGAAGAAAAAGGTCTAAGGATCAATATTGAAAAAACAAATTATGTATGTTCAAACTTCAGTGGAAACCAAAACGATGAATATGTATAAGTATGCATAGAAGGACACATTATCCCCTCAAATGATTGTTTCAAGTACCTAGGGTCTATGATATATAAAGATGGGGTGTAGATGAAGATGTTACACACTGTATAAAGGTGGATGGCTAAAGTGGAGGGCTGCTACTGGAGTTTTGTATGACAAGAAGGTGCCTATAAAACTAAAGGGAAAATTTTATAGAATGGCAAGTATGGATCAGAATGTTGGGCAATCAAGAAGGATCACATAAGGAGGATGGAGGCCGCAGAAATGAGAATGCTTCGATGGACATGTGGTAGGACTCTGTGGGACATGACACCTAACTCTGCTATTAGGATGTACTTGGGGGTGGTATCTGCATCCGAAAAATTGAGGGAGGGAAGACTACGATGGTTTGGGCATGTCCTTAGGCGACAACCGTCGGATGCGGTCAGGAGGGTAGAGTCGATTACAGTCGACGGTGTCAGAAGGAGAGGACGACCAAGACGGAAGTGGGAAGACTACTTGAGATCTGATTTGAAGGAATTAGCCCTTACCGAGGACATGACCTCTGATAGGAAAGTATGGAGACTTAAGACCAGGGTAGTCGAGTAGAGCGGTTCACAGCCATAGGGTGTAACATCTTTGTCTTCTTTTTAATGTCTTTGTAGTACTTTTCATGACTTATACTTTATACATGTTTCTGTCATTGAAATGTATGAAGGCTTAGAACTAGGGTATCGGAGTAGTGTTGCCTTAGTTTAAGAATTAACTCATTTGAATTTATTCCTTATCGTAGCTTGCTATTATTGACTTTTGTGTATCATTTCTATTCATGTTTCTTCTTTTTAAATTTAGCTGGGTCTTACATTTTCAGTCTATATGCAGAGATTTCTATGTAAGGAATTATTTGCAGGGATTACTCCCCATTATAGACGCACATATCAAGACTGCATATGAAGACTGTTCATCTATGTATTTATTTATTTATACACGCATTTGCATCTTATATTTATTTTTAATTTTCTGACTGCCGGAGGTCTTCCACGGAAGCTGCTCTCAACCTGGCGTTGGGGTCAGCCTACTATCCTACCTCCCCTTACCCCATTGTATATGGGAATCAGGGTTTTGTTGTTGTTGTTGTTGTTAAAAATAAAAAATAAATTCGTGGGTTAGTTTATGTATTAAACCTTTAAAAATGAACTGAGCAACTAACTTGTGTAACTTTATCCAATCTTAGGGGCCAATTTCAAAAAAGAAAATCACAACATCTAATCTGACAAAAGTCATCAAGTTTAGAGACCAAATTGTGCATTAAACCATTTTTATTGTCCCGAAAATAGAGGTGAAAAAATCAAAGGGGAAAAAAAGGGAGTGGAGTTGGTTTTCCATCTACCAAGCAGGGGTGAAACAAATATCGTCATAAATACAGGCAGACCGCAGAGAAGCACTTGGGGAGCAAAAGGCTGTATAGGCTCCAATTTCCTTGAAGGAAAAAAAAACCGTCCTAAGAGAGAAAAGAAGAGAGATGGTGAGACCAGTTAGGCCTCAGTTCGTCCTGTTTGGATCATCCATTGTTCAACTTAGTTTCAGCAACGGTGGATGGGGTGCTATTCTTGCTGACGTCTATGCCCGCAAAGTATTTTCTTCCTTATTTCTGGGTTTTTCTTTCAGTGCCTTTGTTGAGTTATCCGTCTCTGTTTCTTGCCCACTGTTTTTATTTTTATATCTCAGATAAATGATAATCTGGGTCATTTGATTCTAAAGTAAAGATTTTAATTATTTATTTTTCATTTTTTGAGGAGTGATTTGGTTCGTTTACTTTTTTTAACGCGTGATTTTGTTTGGTAATCAGGTCATTGAATGGTAGGATAGAAAAGAGAAAGTTTCTTTTCCCTTCTTTCTTCATATGAGGGAAACGTGGGAGGGAATTTAATGTGACCGATTAGTGTTCCTTTATTAGTTTTTAGTAATTTTGGACGAGTTAAAGGAGGGGAATTCTTGATTGTTTGTAAAAATGCTTGCCCTGTGATTTAGAAATAAAATTACAAAATTTATGATGGTAATTGTGTTTCTCAAGTTTAGCACTCAAATTATTTGGTCTCGTGCAGATTAAAATAGGAAGTTAATAACAGTTGAAAGTTTTTAACTATTCGATTATTTTCACTGAGACATGAAGTTGTTGCTAGTGCTGGGTGTATGATCTTATACCAGTTACTGCACTACGACAAATCTACTCTAATTTACTGTTGTTGAAGAATTTTCCTGTCTTACTGTATGTGTGTGGTTAATGTTCTGTGAGAATCATGCTTTATTTACTATCCTTCCGCAGGCTGACATACTTTTACGAGGATATTATGGATGGAATTCACGGCGCTCCCTAGAGGTGCTCGATCTTGTATTTCCAAAGGTATTAAAGTTTTGATGATAGTTACTACATCGAACTTGTTGAAACTGTGATTGACATTTATGGAACAGTCATTTATTGTAAAGAAGAGGATGCTGCTTTTTAATTATACTAATTGGTTCCTTTAATCTGTATTTTGAGTTTTGGAAAATAGTAACCAAAGGTAGTAGGGGAACCCTTTTTCTATTCAGTCTGTGTATCATTGTTGATCATACAATAGGTATTAGATTCCGAGTTCAGATTTGTAAGGTGTAATCTTTTCAAAGTGTTTTGAATTTAACACCGTAGTTCTGTTCTTTCGTATTACAGGACGATTCTAATCAGCCTTCATTGATAATTACTTATTTTGGCGGTAATGATTCGATGGGGCCTCATCCATCTGGCCTTGGGCCCCATGTTCCACTTCCCGAATATATAGACAACATGAGGAAAATAGCAATTCATCTCAAGGTATTTTCTAACATCTCTCTCAGTTATTTATATGATTATGAAATGGAGACTAAGAAATGTCCCAACATGTTTTCATGAATAAAAGATACAAAATCAACTGTCAGATCGAATCAACAATGAGAAAATGGTTTTGAGTGCTTCAAGATTTCAGTTTTTCTGTTTGATTGTCTTTTTAAGTGGCATCGTTAAGCTCAACCTAGCGGGTGTTTTCACTGTCTGACAGTAACATGCAATGCTCATTCCATTTTCTCTTCTGTTTTTTTCTTTCTGAAACCAGAGCCTTTCGGATTCAACGCGCCTGATATTTCTTACTTGTCCTCCTGTTGATGAAGAAAGAGTAAATAAGAACATAAGGTGATGTAATGGATGTTTTCTATGCCTTCTTTTCCACCTAATATCTTATTGCAAATTGTCAATCTAAGACGCCCCTTCGGTAAATCAGTCAATATTTAAGCCACCTTGTTCGAACAAACGAGTTATGCCGGACTTATTCTGAAGCTTGTATCCAGCTCTGCCAGGAATTGGATATCAAGGTGGTTGATCTTTTCACTGCTATTCAACAAAGAGATAATTGGAAAACCAATTGCTTCACGTAAGTTTACTGTCTACAATTTAATCTTATCTATTTTTCTGATGCAATCACATTTTGGAAGTTCATTGGCTTTATTTGTGAATCATCATCCATGTGCCTTTATTTTCCGTGCGGTCTTTTTCCCTTCCTGCCAACAACTTTAGGGAACTGTTATGTTTTGGTAGGGCAGTTTATTTTCCACCTGTGTTCTATAGTTCTGAAACTTTGGTTTTTCCTTATTAACACGAAAATTCCGTTTGGTCCAAAGAAGAACGAGAGAGAAAAATGAAGCTATGGTGCTCGAGCATAAATCACAGTGAGACTAGAATCAAACTGTAATTATAGTGTAGTGGGAGTTGGCTTGTTTCTTTCAAAGTTTATCCTTTAATTTATTTGCAGTTAACTAACTGTAATGATGTTGATCTCAAAACTGAATTTGTCAAATATATTCTTTTCAACAGAGATGGAGTTCATCTATCAGCTGAGGGGAGCAAAATAGTGGTGGCAGAGATACTGAAAGTACTGAAAGAAGCTGAGTGGAAGCCATCTCTGCACTGGAAATCCATGCCGACTGAATTCTCAGATGACTCTCCTTATGATCTCGTTGCTGCTGATGGGAAAACCACGTTGAATCCGTCCGAATGGACATTTCACCGAGCTATTCAGTGGGACTAGAGTTCAGAGGTGTCCTTAAGATCATCATATCTCGAAATCCCATGGAAATTAAATGATGATAAAGGTCTATAGATAAAATTAGGAAAGACTTGAGCTTTGAGTACTATGGTTAATTCTTGCAAAGATATCGAGAGTTTAATTCAATCTAGTGCAATATATACAGGCGCGCACACCCACCCACCCACATGGTTGCAATTCAATTCCTGCTAAATAAACGTAGAAATATCTATTTCAAGCTAACTCTTGTTCATGATTAAAACATTTTTACACACTAGCATTTTCCATAGTTTGATGCTAAGATATATGAACTCTGCCTTTTAGCAACAATTTTGTTCAAGGAAACACCGTTTCTTCGAATCCATCCCACTACAAAAATTTCAAGTAGTCCATCGTATCATTAAAGTGCCACGTCAAAACAAGTATCAATTTAAAAATTATTATATTATTAATTTAGAATCCATAAACAAAGATCTTCATATATTCTCCTACGTGAAAAGGGGATGTTTATCTCAAACTCAAATTAAATTTCATCACAATTAGGCCTGTAAACGAACCGAACGCACACGAACGGAGGTATGTTCATGTTCGTTCATTTAATAAATAAATGAACATAAACGAACACGAACATAAACGAACAAAATATTTTTTGTTCATGTTCGTTTATTAAGGAATATAACTTGTTCATGTTCGTTTATTTAATAAATAAACGAACATAAACGAACACGAACATAAACAAACACGAACATAAATGAACACGAACATAAACGAACATAAACGTTGGAGACCCTACCTAGGGGTATAAACGAGCCGAGTCGAGCTCGAGTATTGCTGAGCTCGACTCGAACTCGAAAACTTTCAAAGTCAGCTCGACTCGACTCGAAAACTCGCGAGCTTAAAATTATCAAGCTCAACTCGAACTCGAAATATAATATTGAAACTCGACTCGAACTCAAAAAAAATTTAAGATCTTGATTCAAGCTCGATTCTGAGCTCGATTCAAGCTCGATTCCGAGCTCGACATTGCCTCAAGCGCAAAGATGCTTAAACCTATTCTCCCCCATCTTCTTTTATATAAGTTACCAACCCCGAGCTGCTTGTTTGCTACTGATGTCGGATTGCATAACGTTCCTCCACTTTCTTTCTTCTTATCTCCTTCAACAACAGTCGAGATGAACACAGATTGTGTTTCATGTGATTGCCGACCTTAATCCATGGGGATCAAACAAACATGTCCTTCGCTTTGTGCTATGTAGAAGTTGAAAATTGGGAGATGAGAGAAGTATGTTGGTTTATTGTTCACACCAACTCATACATCAAAAACCATTCTTTCTCGGCTGGCTAAACTTTCATATCCGGATGGTGCACAAAATTTGTTCGATGAAACGCGTTAAAGAACTTCTCAACCTATGTAATAAGGCCTCACCATTATTGGGTTCTTGAGTTCAAAGTAAGCTGACTTGAGTTGCTGGTTGATCACTATTTACTTGTAAATTCGAATACTCCATTATATATGAAAGAAAAGAAGATTATTTGAGTAGAAGAAACGGTGCTTAATACTTAACATCCCTTCCAGAATCCATCACCTTTGGACTTGGTTTCGAAAGCAACCGGTTTCTGGGACTACTCTTTGCTCATCGGATAACCAGCTGGTGGTGCAGTCACATAGGGTTTCGGCGCAGTAGATGTTGACGGTGCTGGGTATGCAGCTTATAGATCGTTCAAAAAGAACTAAACTGTGTTAATATTATTGGATTTTCCAAATAAAATTGGGTTAATTATGGAATTGGTCATCAGAATATCATATTAATTAATATTTTTAAGATACTTACAAATTGGTCACCAAAATTGATTTAAGAAGATTGAGTTAAACATAAATGAATGAACATAAATGAACATAACCGAACGAACATAAACGAACATAACCGAACGAACATAACCGAACGTTCACGAACGTAAATGAACGAACGAGACCTATGTTCATGTTCGTTCATTTAATTAAACGAACACAAAATCTTATTCATGTTCGTTCATTTATTAAATAAACGCACATAAACGAACTTCCTGCCGTACGGTTCATGAACGGTTCGCTGAACGTTAAGTTCATTTACAGGCCTAATCACAATAGAATATGAAACATTTTTAAAAAAAAAACAATATCTTGAAAAGAAAACCATATCCAATCCAAAAACCTTATTTATTACCCAATCCCATTATTGTTTAATGAGATTTTGCATAACTGGAAATACTTTGAGGGGGAGTTCCGTTGCTGAATGAGTTGTTTTCATCAATGTGCAGAGATGATAATGATAGGGTCACACACTTTTCACCACATCTTTTTCTTGATTTTGCCAACCCTTTCCACACTTGCACTAATGATTGAAAATATGGGCAAAAAGGGAGGCAGGTCGCCGTCACTGTTCAACAATTCCCCCACCCCCCCTTCATAATTGTATTGACCAAACCCTAGTTGAATCAAAATCATTCTTCCCCAGTTTACTTCATATAAAACTCTCAATTTTAGAAGGATTTCTTTATTCATTTTTCATTGTGTTTGTTGGACCATTTGAGTCAACGGGTTTGACAAAATCTTGGGTACCCTTTTTAGTGTGAAATGAACTCAATTGGTCAAATTTGAATCCAACCCCAGAAATGAACACACTGCTATCAATGTGCACAAACAGCTCACGCTGTTAGATGGAGGGGAAAAAGAAGTCCTAAAAAATGGAACATCTTTACATTCCAAAATGATGTGTATTTAGATGAATAATTGATTGAAAAAAAATAGTTGACAAAAAGGGAAAAATTTTCAGTCTGAAACGAGTGAAAATGCACCACTAGAGATGCTTCCATGGCTGCCATCACAAACATTCAATGCCCTCTCCAAGTTAGAAACAATGTCACCAATTATGGGCCTTTCTTTGCCTTCTAAATTCACACAATGCATTGCTGTATATGCCATAAGCTCCACTGCTTCAGCTTCATTAAGCTCTGGTGGTCCAACCCTTGGGCCCAATACCTTAACCATTTCACCTGCAATAATTGCAGGCACTGCAAAATCCACCAGGGTTATTGGGGTGCCACCACTTTCATCATTCTTGAATATGGCTCTTTTCCCCGTTAGAAGTTCTAGCATTACAACTCCAAGTCCATAGACATCACTCTTTGTTGTTAATACGTTTAACCCATAGTGCTCAGGGTCAATGTAACCTACCGTTCCTGCCGCTTTCATCAGCCTGTAATCGCGGTTGGATTCCGGATCCTTCATGGAAAGTCCGAAATCAGAAACTCATGCTGTCCAATTCGTATCAAGTAATATGTTGGAAGACTTATATCCCTATGGATTATAGGTGGAACTGCATAATTGTGAAGATATTCGATTCCTCGGGCAGCATCCAACGCGATTCGGGTCCTCATTTTCCTGAATTAATCAAACTACTACTTTTCTCGACGTTGTTCTCATCATGTAAATGATCATACACCGGACCGTTCTTCATGTATTCGTAAACCAGAACCCTTTCATCTTTTTCTTCACAATACCCAACAAGCCTCACCAGATGCTTATGATGAAGCCTTGACAAAAATACCAATTCTGATTCAAATGCCGTCTCTTTCTCTTGGAATTTCTTGTTTTCTGACCTGTTTCACCTCTTTTAATGGCCACCTCACGGCCATCCCACAGCTTCCCTTTGTAAACGATCCCAAAGCTCCCGGCACCCATCTTGTTTTCGGGTGAGAAATCATTGGTAGCGGCAGCAAGCTCGACCAAGCTGAATTCCTCCGCTCCATCAGCATGTTTGGATGATGTTCCACTTATTTGACGCTTCATTGCTCATGAGCTATGGCGTCTGATCGAAAATGACCTCGAAGAAGGACTGTTTTTTTTATCCTGGACCACCATTGGAACCAGTTCTAGTGATTGTTGGCTGAACTGAATTATGTACTTTCTTTCTCCCACAGCAAATCCCAGTCCATAAACAGTAAATAATACTACAAATCCCCAGAAAAATTCCAACTGCTCCAACTATTACAAAAGCCAATAACCATCTCCTCCATGAAGAGACCGATTCAAAAACTCCGGAGGTGAAGCCGGCGGCGGTAATGACGGTTGTGATGGGGTGTTGAAATTAAAACAAGGTGAAGGTTTATAGATGTTACCAGTTCCAAAACAAAGCTTACTTGATTGAGGGTATAATCCACACTCATTACAAGGGGATTGAACGCAAGGCCCTGGTAAAATCACAGCTCCCAAAGGTAACTCGTTTGCATTAGAAGCTAACCCATCGTTTCCAGGTCACCCTGGACCCCAACAAACAATTGAAAAATTCCTAGTGGTTAATCCACACGTAAAATTTAAGACTGAAACAATGGATTCCAACTCGATTCCTTCGACGGTGGTCTCGTTTATGGAACCCCAACAAACAACTGTACCGTTCGATCTCCTTATTGCGCAGCTAAAATCTTCGCCAAGAGCTAACCCAGAAGCAAAGTTTAAACCTTTGTTTAAAGGAACGTTTAATTGACCCTTTGAGTTATCGCCTTTACAAAGTAAATCTCCAGCTGAGTTCACTCCACAAACATGGGAAAACCCAGCTTCGATATTCGAGACTGATAAGTTCCCGAATTGTTCTTCAATGTCTTTGCCTACTTAGTTACGTCCCCAACAAGTCACCCGACCGTTTTCACTCAAAACAATCCCACATGAAAACCCAAACCCGGATGTGATTTTACCCATGGTGTAATTTCCATGGGGTAGCTCATCGGTGCTATTCCAATCTTTTCCGACGGGTCTCCAGCAGTACTCGTATGGCTTCGATTCGTTGTCGAGCAGATTTTACCGCCGCCTATGGAGAGGGATTGTAGCAATCTGGTGTTGTTATAGTACAGGCGTTTGGCGGGAAAATTTGGGGCGTTTGTTTCCTAGCAGAGGAGGGTGTAACCACCGGAGCGGCCACAAATGCTTGTGTTGAGTTTGTAATCAGTTTTTTCTGTTAATAGTTTGTTACAAATAGTTTTAAGTTAGTTAGACAGTTAGATTGAAAATGTTCATATATATATATATGTAAACAGATTGTAATTTGTGAGTTGAGAAATGAAGATTAATTTTTCCACAACTCTTATATTACTTTTTAACATGGTATTAGACT